TTCCAGAGACGAACCAAATTTTTCAAATATATTATCCCTTAATTTAAAGAATACTATTTTGGTACTCATATTTATGGGAACATCTTTTATGGATGAATATGATGTAATTCCGATTTTAATTATTTAGAAACTGATCATCGAGAATGCGATGAAATACGAGAATGTTAAGATAAATAATTTTTAACTACAAACAGTAAGCATAACAGAAAAAAAAGTGAATTCCAAAAACTAGGAGATCATGATAACATGAGATCTTACTCCACTCGAGAACACTCTGCTAATAATGCACTCTAAAGAAACATATGTATGTATATAAATACATATCAACATTAGAGCTAACAGCAGTTTATAGCAAATATAAAAATAATTTAATCAAGATCCTCTCATTTATTACCCGAAAGCACGGTGAGAAAAAAAATGAGTCCTTGAAGAAAAAAACGAGAAAGATGATCATTATGCGTTTGATCTTCTTCAAAGCTCTTCAAATTTACAGATTTTGCAGAGCATCTTGCATAAACTATTAAAATTAAAAGATTTTGCTTCATCATGCAAATTCGGCAACTCAGAAACCCAACCAATATATCTTTTACCAATACGAGATGAAAATTAATAACCAATATGCAATGCCAAATTATGGCGAAATATACTCATGCCGTAGACTGATCGATTAAACTTTAAACAGAATGTGGTTTTATATAAGTAAAGATATTGCAAGCCTATTGCGACTTACCTACCGAACAAACAAATTGACAACCTTATCATTCATCACCTGTCATGAATATATACGACGATGGTAACAATGATGACCGTGCCAAAATTAGGGAAGAATTGAACACGAGGATCTGAATACCTTAAAATCGGAAATTTCTAGAAGAGAACGAATAACTGGTCAGGTTTTCTTTTTCTATTCCAAAAGCATAATTTCTTTGATAAAAATTCGGTTCTATTTGCCTAATTAAAATCAGCGACATTTCTATATGATACAGCAAGCAGTAAAGGGGCTATGCTCGTAATGAAATGATATTTTCGACGTTTTCTTCTAATATTCCTTATTCTTAAGCAATTCTTCCCTTGTTTGTCAATAAAACTAATTATCATTTAAACATTACTACTAGTCTTTAAAAAGGTCTCTATTTTTTATAAAGCCATTCACCATTCTACATTCTCCAATGGATTATTCCAAAAAATCAACATTTTGTATTTCTTTAATGATGTCCGAAAATTTATTATCTACTCCTTGACATTATTTGAATCGGATTCAAGAAATTAACACTTTTTACTTTTATCAAAACTAGGACAAGACATTCTACAACTTATTTCTCTTAAGCCCATTTCATACTTTTAACAAATCACTCGAAGTACAACATGAACCTTGAAAGATGTGGAAAATTGCAATCAAAACTCATTATAAAAATGAAAAAGATGAAAGCGCATCAAAATACACACATCCTAGACTTAAATCAATTCAGTAGCTGGTGCCGTCGACGATGTAACGATAGCGGAAGTGGTGCTAGATGATGTCATCCCCGTTCCCGATGTAGCAGCATTAGCTGATGCTGTCATCTGTGCTTCACGACGAACCATGCTGGACGAGAAACCCGGCAAATTCGGAAAACGGATACCTATTTCACGTGCTACTTTCACCGGTGCCTGAAATGCATATCCTTTATTAATTTAATCCATTTCTTTCTTACGCAATCAATTAATAAACAACCGATCAATTCACCGTTGCTGAAATGGCTGCATAATTATATCTGGCTAACGAAAATTATAATCCTATCATTCTTCTACGAAAGATTCTAAAATTCTGAACTGTTCATCAGCTCTCGCTTCCTCTCTCAAAAATCAGACACATACACAAACTTCTTTTCTATCCTCCCTTTGAACTTCTGAATTAAAAAAACCAAATACTGTTGGGAAAAGGAATGCTATAAAATTGAACACAGAATAATTAAAATTAGAAAGCTGTAAATGCCGAAAAAAAGCTCAGAATTAGGCACAAAATATTAAAAAAGAAAAGACAGAATAAAAGAAAAGACTGATTTGTTAAGGTCAAACATTTAAAATCCAACAAGTATTCCGGCTGATTTATCAAATACTTCAATTGATCCATAAGGTATTTCGATTGATCCATCAAGTATTCCATTTGATTCACCAAGTATCATGCTCAATCCTGTATGACACGTACATACTAGATTAAAGTGTAACCGAATATGGAGAAGATCAAAGGGAGCCAAAACACAACGGCAAAGCACACAGATTTAATACAGGTATATTATATCAATCATCTGATAATAAGAATAATGTAAATTGCCCTCAGTTGTACTATACTACTGCTAACAGATCTACACAGAAATGAAAAATGTAAAATACAGGTTAATTTTTTTTAATGGGCTAAGAAATAAAATGAAGCAAGCGAAGGTTAACTAATACATACATGCTTTGAATCAATCTTTCAACCACCGAAGGTGACAGGGAAATGAAGCTAAGAAATTGGGAATTCAACTGGAAAATTGCCCGATGAGATGTTGCTCCAGATAAAGAACATGGTTTAATGGTGGTGATAACGATGATGATGATGATGATGATGATGATGGTAACAATGAAGTTGGTGCTAATATTCGTTGGAATAGTGGAAATAGCGCCAGCTGCGGAGAGAGTGATAATATTAATCATAACGGTACGACGGTTCCCGTGGTGGTACCACTGGCAATACGTGTGCCGCGAGAAATCTTCCGTGATGCTTTACGTGCGATCAACGTTGAGAATGGTGCAGTTCTCTAAAAAAACAAAGTGGAAGAAGAAACAAATAGAAATGAGACAAAATAAAATAAAACAAAAATAAAAAAACCAAGAAAACGAAGTAACAAAAGAAAAGTTAACAAGAATAATCAAGGAATCATTATTAGAATGATGATCTAAAATTTATCGAGTTAATGAAACAAAGCATCGCCGGTGTACTACTTTTAGAAGGATATCAGCAGATAGATTATCGCCCTTCCTCCTATACGGATGCATAATGACCGTCGACTTCTATTTTTTGTCACAGTTCATGATCGACGTTCATTTTAATATCATAAAATAACACCAAATAAAAATAAATCTTACCATAAAAATTTTAATAATTAACAATCGAATTGAAGTTATTACATTGCATTTAAAGATAAAGATGCTTATATGTTTATGAATCAGTAAAAGGAGAATATGTTTGAGTAGAAAGAAATTAAAATCAAACATACTTAGTTACTGAAAATCAAATATAAAACCAATCAATGAATTCCATTCAGCATCAAATAAGCTTGTTTTTGCATGTTAATCATTAGCAGTAGAAGAAAAATAATCTGGCAAGTCAAAAATAAATGGAAAGTCACATGACTAAAATATTTTAATAACGTTAATTGAAACATCCAAAAATTATATTAAGAATTCTGTACATTAACACATTCTAAACATGCTTTTTATTAAAGGAAAAGGAAAAACTGCACAGGGTTATGTAATCATCTATAAATCAGAAACTAAAATGAAAGACAACGAGATGGAATAACATTTCTCTTCTTTCCAATAGCAAATTCTTTTTTATTCTCAGTTACTTGGTAAAAAATCCGTTTTTGACTGAATTTTTAAACCTTAAATAGAAATGTTTGCAAGCGGACATTCAAAGCACAAAAGCCTGCTTGTCCAAAAACATCGCCCAAAAAAAATTAATCAACCAAAAAGAAAAAGCTATTGGCAAACAAAAGAAATATAAGAAAAGCCGGAAACCGATACCTAGATGAAAAATAAGAGAGAATCTCAAACAAATAAACTGTTTTTGAATTTCACTATTTTCAACTAACAACTGAAATATCAAACTAGATAAATTTATTTCTATCTTGCTAACAAATACTAAATATCTAGGGCAAACAGAGTTATATTTTGGACCTTCTCGCTTCTACCTAAGTGTCATTTTCAGGTATATTAACAAGATCATCCACCTAAAATTATTTCTACAGTTCGCGTCCTAAAATTAAATTACCTTTTTTTTCGACTGATTGAGCAATTCCCTATAATTTTCGGAACGCAAAAATCGTTGATAACTGTCATTTTTCATCAAACAAAATATATGGTCCTGAAATTTATACGATCTCTGTGTAAATGAAACTACTTTTTGATATTTTTTACCGTGAATTTTCATTTGCTCGATGTAATGTATGGCAACTACCAGATTTGTTACAACAAACAATTATATCATGATCACTGCTTGTTTTGCCATGCTACGTCTTGGAGCAAAAACAAGCTTTTTTTCGTCTGGCTTTAATATTGTTAAAAGTTCCAATTCCAAAATATAATTTGTACTTTGAGCTGGTATATATCGGAAATTAGATAAATATTGAACTTTTTTTTCGAATGAAAAAAACGACTGAATTCTTATTCGTATTTTACTTAATGAGCTATATCAACATCTTTCTGAAATTATTAAATTCCGTAACAACACAATTAAATAAGAAAAAAGACTGAATTCTTACTGCAGCCTCATCAAATGACCAACGGTTTGGATTTTTCAAATTTTCTTCTGTCTGATCCATCACTTTACAATCGATATTAACTGGTGATGTCGCATTTTTATCAATGAATTCATTGTATATTTCAGTTACTAACACAGGCACCATGCGACATGCACATTTCCGTAATTTTTGAACCTAAGCAAAAAAATATCACACCTTACGAAACTGATTTGGTGATAAATAAAGTTAATTAGGAATATAATTTAACAAATTCGATAATTTGATAAATTAAACTGACACTTTTTATAGTTCTCAAAAAATTTTCGTTCTCGCTACTAAAAATTGAAGAACTGATTATCTGTTTATTATCCTACCTATTCTTAATTTCTACGGTACCTGGAAAATATGTTTTTTTATCAATCCTCCACGATATGAATTATCCTAAACTCTGACCCATACCATTTGTCATCACACAATAACCGATGTAACATCGATAAGTATAGCAAATGAAATT